TGAATCACTTTTAGATTATAATCTATCTTAAACAGATAAAACAAAATTAATTAATAAAAGTTCTAATTGTTATAAATAAACAAAATAATAAATAAAAACCTTACATTCTTTAATCTATTTTGTATTAATATTTAAATTAAAACTGTTTCACTTGTTTTTAAGTGATGTTATGCAATGTTAACAATTTTGAAGTAACAATTCATTACATTTCTTCTTGTTTTTAATGATGTTGTTTTCAATCTTATAGTTTATATTAATATCAATCTGGGTTTATAAACAGTAAAGTTAGTGATTTGAGCTTTGTTTTACTATTTTGACTCTACTTTATATGCATTTATCTATCTTTTATACATTTATAAATTAATAAATTATATGTATTTATCAATTTATATAAACTTTTTCTTGAAGTTTTCATTTTAAAACTGTAATATTATAAATATAACAAATTGTAATTTGTAATTTGATTAGCTAATAATCATATATAAATTTACAAATTAGTTTATAAAGCTAGTCAATCAGACAAATTTCTGTTTATAATTGTAATAATACAAGTAATTTAGATACAGATATGTTAGTTTTGTTTGTAATTTCTATTTATAGTGATTTACTGCAAAAATTCTGTTATTGTATTTACAGACTGTATAAGTATAATAGTAATATAATTAATTTAGATATAGTTATTAGTTTTATATTAGAATATTTATAATTTTTATAGTAATTTATATACAAAATTCTATTGCTGTACTTTTTTTTGGTATTAAGATGACTTTTTTGGTCTTTTGACTTTATTAACACTTTTTGAATAATATAGTTTTATAGAAACTACTACAAGAAAAATATACAACTAACTATATATATAACTTTTTTATATTATTTATTTAAGAAGTTCATCTAAAGGTTTCTTATTAGTTGTTATACTTAATATTTCTGCTTAGGTATTTTATTTAAATTCTATAAACTTATAATTCATATTAATTTTACTAAGTCATTTTAGATTCTTATTTCAATCTTAAGACTAATTTATCTTTAAAATAAATCTTTCAAAGTTTTCTGTATTTCCATTTATAGCTAATCTGAAATCATTATAACTAAACTAATATTTGCAGTTAGAGCTAACTATTAAACTGTTATACCCTTGTCAAGTTTATACAACTCTAATATTCTCTTTTATAATCTCAATAGTGTTTTATTTATTCTTGCAAGTTCTTTTATATTACAAATTCAGTAAGTTTGCATGATGTAACTTTATATTTAAATTAACTAGTAGTCAAGTTAATAAACTTTTTTTACTTAAAAGTTCTTGTCTGTTCAAGTTACTTGCTTCAGATTTCCTTTTCTAAATTAATATTTTTATAAGTAGTATTATTAAAAGATTATACTATCTCTCTACTTGAAATTTTTAAACAGAACTTTTTATAAAATATATATTTTTCAATTTATTTATATAACATTACATATTTTCAAAATTAGTTTTAATATAATTAAAATTATAAAATTATAATTTTAAATATTTTGTTCAAGTTGTCAAAATAGAACTATTTTTTAAAATTCTACTATTAGTAAGATTTGAACTCTAATCCTATTGTTTAAAAAATGACATCTCAATTACTATACTAGAATTATTATTTTTTGTTATTATATTTACAACTATTGTAATAATATAAGTTGTTATTAAATTATTATTTACTTTTAAGCTCTTTTATATTATTAAAATTTACAAATGTACATTATACTGTTATAAAGTAGAAGCCTTCTTATTTTCATACTATAACAATAATACAGTACAGAGAATTTCTTATGAATATATGCAATGTTCAAGAGAAAAGTATAGCTTTTGTTAGACATTATCAAGAAACTATACCTATCTCTTAGGCAGTTCAATAATTATTACATAATAGTTTATAGTTAAAGTTATTTATTAAATAATTGTAAGAAGGATTATTCTTAGGTACCTGTTCTAAAGAATTCAGAATATAAATTACTGAATAAAGAAGAAGAAAAATTGTCTATTTCTTGTTAACTGAATTTATCTTTTTATTTAAGAGAATTCAGAGAGTTTATATATCTGTAAGCTAAGTGACTAAGTGACTAAGAAACTAAGCAACCAGTTTCACTAAGAGACTAAGTGATTGGTTTTACTAAGAGACAAAGTGACCAGTTTCACTAAGATACTAAGTAACCAGTTTCACTAAAGGACTAAGCAACTAGTTTCATTAAGAAACTAAGTGACTAGTTTTACTAAAGGACTAAGCAACCAGTATCATAAGCTTAAGGCATTAAAATATTTAAAGCATTAAAGTAACTATAACTAATAAATAATACAATAATAAAAATCTATCTTATAATAATACTTATAGCTTATTAACTAGTTTAAGTATCTTTATTGCCTATAAATAGTGTTTTAAATTAGATTATATTAATTTAAAATTTGATCTAAAATTTAGATTAACTAGGTTTAGATTAAAAAAATCTGATCTAGAAATTTCAAGTTAGGTTTAGTTTAGATTTAGGTTAAATATTAATCTGAACTGAACTTATTCAACTTGACTCAACCTAATCTGAAAATTATCTAAATTAAAAATATTTAAAATAAGCATTTTACATATTTTTTTTAGATTCTAATAACAAATATATAACTATTTTAGAGGTGTGGTGACCTAGTGAAGTAGTCAGGTTGTCAACCCTTCAAGTGGTAGGTTGGGTGTTCAAATCCTATTGATGGCAAAAATTTGGATAATTACTTATATAATATTCATATTATGACAACTGTTACTAATGGTTAGGTTAGGATACCTGTAATGGAGATTGCACCAGCATGACTGGCAGGTCATGAGACATCTGTGTAATGTTAAAGTTACACAAAGAAATGCAAACTGACATATCAGGCAGTGCAAACACTAGATAAGTCTTTGTGGTTGTGTAAATCTGTTGAAATTGGGTAACAAAAAGTCTATTTGGAAAGATTCGAGTAGAGAGATACATTAGCAGAATAAATATGTGAAATATTGCAAAAGATTTTGCATACCAAAAATCTTTTAAAATAACTGTAATTGACATGAAATTATTTTATACTTATTTATATAATTTTTATTATATTATCTTAAAATTTATAAAATATAATATTAGACATGTCCTTATATAAGTTTCCTATAAGGATATGTCCTTAGTGACACTTTTTTGTAACCTGAAATGTAACCTGAAAATAGATCACTGCAACACCTTCCAAACTAGGCAATCTATTATCCGATTGGTTGATACTAATTTGGAAATTAGTTTTGAACCTAAAATTTATCCATCAGCCTAATGTAACCAAAAAATGTATCCTAAAAAATGTCACTGAAATTTCGATACTGACAATGACACTTACTAATAAAATCCATTTCCCAGCAAATTTTCCAGTGACACTTTTTGATACTTGATTTTTAGGAAAAAATATTAGTAAAATTCTCCAGTGTTATTTTTCGATACTTATTTTTAGGAAAAAATGTTGGTAAAAATTCGTAATTGTTTTAATGTTCTTGATATATTAAAAAATCGTCACTTCAAAATTCTGATTTATGAGAAATTTTGTTAGAAAAATGTATAAAATCATTTTATGAAACTCCATCTTTTTTTTCTTGTTCTACATTTTTTATTAATGACACAAAGTTGATTATCTTAATAAAATTTTATGTAAACCATGATTTTTATACTGACAATGATTTTAGAACAAATGATCTGCAAAGATAAGATGAAAATTGTTTCATCAAAATTTAAGCTAATTTCATAAAAATAAATCCGTTTGACTTGAAATTTAATATACAAATTGTTGAATATCATCTACACCAACTTCATTAGTATCGTACAGGATGTTTTCTTTAAATGAAATAGTTAAATTAACAAAATTGATTCTGTAAACTTTAAAGAAAAAAATTCGTTAGTAATTTTTGAATGAAAAAATGTTATATCTCCATGAATTCTTAATTAAACAAGTTCAAATTTTCAGGGAAAAATTTTATATACTTATTCTATCAATTATATTAGTGCGCAGTATAAGGTTTAGAATCAAGATAAAAAATGATGAGTTCAATCAATCATCATTTCCATCAAAGACAAAAATTCGTCTATGAAACAAAACAGAAAAACATTAATATCTCTATGAATATTAACTCAAAAAATCTGAAATTTAACATACTAATAGATGAAATTATGCTTTATAACTTTTGTTATTAGTGTAAAATAGGTTTAGAATAAAGAAAATTAATCTGCAGCTGATTACGATTGATTATTCTCTAATAAAAAAATTTGTATACATTTTTTTAAGAGAAAAATCATTGTTAGTCAATGAGTTTATATTCAATATTCATAAAAACAAAGATACTAATACTTCTATTTATGCTGAACAACTTTTATTAAGACCATAACTATACTTACCTTAGTAATGTTTTGTGTAAATTATATTTGTAACTTGACTATTCTTCTAAAACATCTATAATAAAATTATGTAAATCTATTTATTATTTTTAGGATTTACTAATTAAAAAAAATATAAATAGACCCTAAGCTCCATTGTTGCAAAAATAAATATAAGTAATATGATAGAAAAATCTTTTATTCTATATGCTCATAATATTTTTTTAATATACAAAAATTGTAACCTTGATCTTGAAGATATATTACAACATATAATTTTCATATTATCAGAAAAACAATATACTATTAAAAATTATATTATTTCCTTTGACAAAAAAGATATTATTGCTTTTATTACATTAGATAAATCAATTTATACACGTAAAATATCTTTATTTAATATTGATTTTGGTGATATAATCTATCAGCCTAAAATACAATCAATTAAAACAAATCATTATATTTTAAAATATATTAAAACTAACAAATTTATTTCTAATATTAAAAAATTAAAAGATAACTAAACCCAAATCAAAAAAACAAAAAACATTTGATACTAAAAATAGATTTGATTTATATTCATCTCAATTTTTTTTAACATATTCACGATGCTCTTTGACAAAGAATCAAGTATTAGAAGAAATTGAGAAAATAATTAAACCCAAAAAAATAAACGATAAAAAATATTATATTAGCAATTATATTATTGCACTTGAATATTATAAAGATGGATATCCTCATATTCATATTTATCTAAAATTAGATAAAAAATTACGTACAAGAAAAGAAACTTTTTTTGATATTAAAATAGATAATATTATTTATTATCCAAATATTCAAGGTGTTCATTCACCAAAATAAGTAGAAGATTATATCTTAAAAAATGGAGATTATATTTCCAAATATAAAATAAATAATCTTAAAATTGCTTAAAAAGTTATTGAACAAAAAATTAAGAAAGGCATATATATAACAAGTTCAATGATTGCAAAGAATATCCAAAAACTTTTGTAATTTATAGAAAATGTTTGCTTGATTGGAAAATTAAAATTGAGGAAGAATATTATAAACCACCTGGTAAACCATTTGTTGAATTTCATTATGAAAATAAACATTGTGAAAAATCAACATATACAGAAAAATATTCAAACAAAATAGCATATCGATTAGATGACAAATGGTTTGATGGGTATGAAAAACAAAAAATTCTAATTATCGATAAATTTACTGGATCTCAATTATATTTTTCAACATTACTAAAAATTTTATCTGGTCAACAAAGATATTTTGATATTAAAGGAGCTAAAGAAATTAATCATGTTAAACATGTGATTATTACAAGTAACAAAAAATTAAATAATATATATAAAAGTTTTGAATATAATGAAGAACAGTTTGATTGGCAAATTAATGCTATTTGGCATTATAAAAAATCGGATACAGGATTTTCAGAACGTAAATGTGAAAAAAATCCATATTTGAAACAATTACATTGTAAATATTTAAAGCAAATTAAATATCATAATTTTTTTGAAGAAAATTAGAACATTATTAATAATGAATCTGTTAGTAAAAACATTTTTCATAATCAATATAGTGAACTTCAATATGATATTTTATTTTAAGGAGGAGAATTAAATGATGATGATTTACCTACTGAAGAAATAGCTTTACATTTGGCTATTAAAAAAAATCAAGAACAACAAAAAAGAAAAAGAAAAACAGATTCATCTTTTGAATCTAATATTGACTCTAAATAATTCTAATATCGATTTAAATAAGTCAAATTATATATACATTTACAAAAAAACCAAAAAAAATTATATTTACTTATAGTTAGTAGTTATTAAATTATTTTATATTATTATTTTATTATTTTATTATTTTATTTTATTTATTATTATTATTATAAATAAAAAATATAAATATACCATAAATTTATTCTTTTTTATATAATTAAAGTTAAAAATGATTAATGAAACAAAAAAACAAGCAATTCTGTTCGTTGTTTTGATTGTAGAATTTTAAATCACAAATGTAAATTCACAAAAAATGAAAACATATATGATGTTTGTATTCGAAGAAATAAACATTGTATACGTGTCTCACCAAAATATTTTAAACAAGAAATTATCAAACTTACTAATACTGTAAAAAGCCATGAATCATAAATTTTTGCACTTGAAAAAAGAGTAAACAAGCTCGAAAAAAATAAGTTATTAATTAAACAAAACATTTCACAACTTTATACTATTATAGAAGAGTAATAATTTAAACTCAATTCTTTAGTTATTTTTTTATATATTTGATTTTATTACATATATATCATTAAAAATCTATAAATAAAGCTAATATTGTTTTAAAATTATAAAAAAATTATGTCAAGTCTTTTGTTAAAAGAACAAGCTATTGTAACAGAAATTGATAGTTTACAAACTGAAAATAATAATTTGAAAAGTGAAAATCAAGACTTAAAGAATCAACTAATTAATAAAGAGCTGATTATAGAAAATATCAATACTTTTTTTTTTTTTTTTTGGTATTAAGGTAAGGCCTTGCTTATATCTTTATTAATAATTTAAAATAGTTACATGTATA